AAAAAAAAAAAAAAAAAAGAGGTGACCATATGTTTCCTATAACACACTTCAATTTTTTATCATTATTTTCTTAAAAATTTTCAATTATATTTAAATTCATGTTCATTGCTTTTAAAAGCTAAGTTAGAAAACTACTACCGTAACCCCAATATTCTGGGAGATTGGGAGATTGAGGCAGAAGATTGTAATGCAAGTTCAAGCTCAACATGGGCAACTTGGGGTCCTGCCCATCAGCTCAGTTGTTTAAGTGCCTGCTTAAACAAAGCAGTCAGGCTCAGGATGCTGTGGTTGGAACCCAGATACTCACGTCAAACCAGAAATGCCCTGAAGGCATCTTGAGGCTGCCCCCCCCCCCAAAAAAAAAATTTCCTTCTGCCATTAAAAAAAAAAAAACAACACACAACATGGGCAAGACTCCAAAGGGGATGGGGTTGTGTGTGCGTGAAAGCCTTGGGTTCAAGCCCCAGTATCACTAAACAAATATTCTTTCCAATGAATATAGTTTAAGTGTAAAGAGGATAACTTTCAATTTAGAGGAGACAGAAAAATCTTTAAAATATATATTTAGATACTGCTCAGTGGTAGAGCACTTGCTCAGCATGTATGAAGCCCTGGGTTATATTCCCAGTACCATACCAAAAAACAAGATAAAGAACGTAGTGCTCTCTCTCCTGTAATCCCAGCACTCAGGAGATGGAGCCATGAATTTGAGACCAGCCTGGACTACACTGTAAGTTCAAGGCAAACCTGAACTACATGTGAAATGCTATCTCAAAAAACAAGAGCAAAACTAACAACAACAACAAAAAAACCACCCCAAAAACCAGGCAGGTGGGCATGCCTGTAATCCTGTCATTCTGGGAGGCTAAGAAAAGATCAGGAGTCTGAGCTCAACCGAGGCAATTTAGCAAGAGCTTGTCTTTAAAAAAGGACTGGGGTTATAGCTCATGGTGAAGGTCCTGGATATAATCCCTTGTATTACAACAAATGAAATTTTCACATATGACCAATCTATACAAAGTTTTTTTCAATACAGTTGTTTGTGAATAAATCTTGTTAAAGGGTAGACTGCCAGCCTACTGGCTCTAGACCAAGCGATACTTGTAATTAGTCTCTATCTGCAGCTTTAAGATTTTTTTGCTCCCTCATTTTGTTAAGGTTTAGCTGTCCTGAAAACATTTCTAAAGTGCTTCTCAGTCTTTTGGCTATGATCAAGTGTGAAAATACTCCTAGTTCTATGATCCTCTCTGGGGCCAGTATTCAAGTGATCACTTTTACTGCCAAATCCCTTATGAAGCAAGTGGGGACTAATGCCAACTCAGGTGGACTTTAAACCCACACAGTAGGAGACGTATTAATACTAAGTACAGAGAATTACATAACTTGAAGTGCCCAAAAAAACCCTCTAATAAATATAAGAGATTCGAATTAGAGCTTTCCAGGTAAACAAATGAAAGTGTACACTACATTATCAATTATTGGCTGGGGATACAGCTCAGTGGCACAGTGCCTGCCTGGCAAGCACAAAGTGCTGTTTGATTCCCAGTACAAAACAACAACAACAAAACAAACAAAAATCCTCTTCAATAATCACAGGTTCACAAATAACCTAAAAGGTTAATATAACTTAGTTTCAATGTTAAACATAAAATAAACAGGAAGTTAAATAATTAAATAGAAAGGAAGGCAGTGTAAGCTGGAATTTAGTGCAAGATGTCTACCCTCTACATATTAACCAAATAGTCTCATAAAAGGGGAGATCTGGGAAGATTAAGCAGGTCAAAAATGAAGTGGCCAAAAAAAAAGACATGGTCTCCCCTGCCTTCTGCTTGCCATGTTGTGGACCTCGTCTCTGCTGTAACCCACCTCTGCCACGCCAATTTGCTGCTATGGACTAAAACCTCTACAAAATGTGAGCTGAAATTAAAACAAAAAACAAAAAACAAAAAA